AGTATCATCTTGGACTGAAAAATATAGTCCATAATCCGATCAGAGCAACGCTACTTGAAGACTTGATCTATTGTCTTACTAATATCTGAAGCAAAACACCAAGATTACCACAAGTTACAACCAGAAGTCAAAAAGAAGAAAACCCTCTATTTTGCTGCCATATTAGGAAGCCCCTTTAGAAAGACCCACCCACATCACAACATACTTACTGGGGTAGTAAACTAATTACTATGAACAACCTAAACTCTTTTGAAGTTTAAACATGAGACAAATGCACTTCCAAAAGTGCACTAAATCTCCAGGTAAAAATTATTGTAGATGTAATAGTAAATCAGTATTATTAACACAAGGTAGTTCCCTTAAACGGCAAACTGTAAAAAGTCAGACTTTAGAATATATCCAAATAGGATAATGAGGCGGACTTATCTGTTCTAACCGGAACATTGAAATAATGGGAGAAAGAAACTAACCAATGGAATGAAGTCCCTTCGCTACCACTCTTTCTTGCAATGAAGTCCAAAAAAAATACTATTATAATGAACCAGAGGGGGTTATATTCGTCTGAAAAACTATGTAATTCGAATTCCTTCAACGCTTTTTAATTACACGGAAAAGGTAATGATGAAAGTAGCTTTACACTTTGATAAACCAAACCTAATCTGTAAGACGTATGATTAAACAAAGGGAAGATAAGGTCATCTTCTACCCAATAATCTAATAGGGTTTGCGAAAGCACGCTGATAATGAAAGATAGTGCCACACTCTTCTGTAGTTTAATTTGTAATGCCCATAATGGAACCAAAAGCAGATAGGCTATAAACCATAAATTTTCATGAACTTCTTTTTTTAAAAAATTGTTTTCATTAACAAATCTAGCATCGAAGATGAGTCTAATGAGGTACAGGACCATGTTAGTTGTCGTCTTTGTTGTCTTCTGCTGATAAATATATATAGCCTATTTGATGAACATACACAGTGGGATACATGGTGATAGGTATGCTACAAAAATTTAGAAGAAGAATAGTAGAGAGAGAGAGATTGACAATTGCAGGAGTGCAGTAAGCCTCGTAAGATATGGTTAAAGAAGAATAGCTTCGTCTAATTGTAGTTGATACGTCAAACTGCTCTTCTTGTCCTGTAATATTGCATACAACTTCCTCATGTTAGTCTATTCTCTGTGATTGAAGGGTAATTCTACTTTATACACCCAGAGTTGCACGTGGAAATTTTAAATGGTTTCACAATGGCACATAGGAAATGGTTGAAAGTGAGAGTATAGAGCAAATAGTAGAGCTGAAAATGAACCGTGTCGTGCTAAGTATTATATATATAATCACATATAATTAGATTCATATCTTATATGTATAATCAAGTTTGTAACGACTAACTTTTAAATAAGTTTAGCTGAACAATTTGATAGTTATATATTCCAACCATTAAGATTAAACTCATACTAATAATTTATATTTGATTCTGAACCAAGTTGAGTAATCACATTGAGTAATCACATTGGCCCTTATCAAGTATTGCTTTCTTTAAATACTCTCCTCCCCTTAAATGGTTTGATAGTGTTGTTTTCCTTATCATGCAAGGCAAAGTACCTAATACATTTGGCCACGCATATAGCTACTTGGCTCGAATTAATGCAATCTTGGCTTAGCCACAAAAGTTGGGGTATAAAGTGTGATAAGAGCTTTAAAAGAGAGAGAGAGAGAGAGAGAGAAGTTAGGTCACATGACATAAACCCTTTTGTGAGGCTATTGTGCCTTGTGTCACAATATTGTACTTCTTCTCTTTTAAGTAAATTTCTCCTACATTCTCTTAGTCCTTCCAAAGGGTATGCGAACACTTAATTAGTTTTTCTGTCTAAGTCGCAATAAAAGAATTAAAAAGATGGATCTCTTTAACTAATCACAAGATAAACTATTTCAATCTGTAAACTTACAACATCAGTATGTTTGGTTTAGGTCCTAAGTGGTGGATTAGATTAATTTAATCCAATAATAATATAATGAATGAGTTTATAGTGACCCGGTATTAATTTTAACTAATCCCAACTTGGTTCACTATTATCATTTAACACTTAATATTAGGTTGTAATTAATACTATATAGTAGGTGGTATTATTTTTACCAAGTATTCCTTACAAGTTTAAAGTCACACATTCATATAAAAGTTAAATGTTATGTAAATTCTTACCCTCAATATTTGTTTTGTTATTTTTAATTTAATATCATAAACTATTACTTAATCGAAACATAAATTATCTCAATTTTAATCCAAACTTGTTATACAATGATAAGATTAAATAATACTCTTGTTAACACCATTTTATGGATTGAATGAAAAATAATTATCCAATCTAATCCTTTATTTGTACATGAACCAAACTGCAAAAGTTCAAATCAAGCTTTTGCAACAAAACACAAAAAATTTAACATGGTTAAGCCCATAAAGTCCACATCCACATACCAAAGTCTAACAAATTATATTTTCTTACAACACTCGAAAAGTAAAATCTTTATTTTCAAATGATTTCCTTTGAAGATTTATTTCTGGGTTTTTTGATACGGTTCCTAAACTTTCATGGGCTGGATTTGTTATGCTTCGAATTGCTGGTTCAATTTTTTTATTTTATTTTTCTCTTTCTACAAAGGAATACATGGGATCTCCCTGTTAAAGATGTGAAATCTGACCTTTCAGTCTGTCATATATTTATTAGTGAGTTTTAGGTTGTCCTCACTGTCAAAACATCCTGTGTCATGATATATAGTTTCAGTAAATGATTGTGTTTGTAACCTGGAAACCAAGGAAAGTGAAATGTACAACATGCTAAAACAAAAAAAATCATACATGAATCACCCTCTTAGATGGGGAAAAACCTAAAATGTTCTACCTGTGTGTGTGTGTGGGTGCTTTTTTTTTTTTTTTTTCGGGGGGGGGGGGGGGGGGGGGGTGGTGTTGGTGAGTGAGTGGTGGATTGCATTAGTGTGGAGAGATATGGTGGTGGGTACTTCTGGATAGGTATAAATGTGTACACATAAAAACTAATTCTGGTATTGCTACAAGAGACCAAATGATAAGATATTGGCATATGGTAGTATGGTACTATTGCATCGTTTAGTCAGTATAAACCACAAGAAATTTAACACACACACACCCCACCCACCCCCACCCCACCCCCCACCCTCCCCCCAAAAAAAAAAAACCACCACACCCCAACACAAAGGAAAAAAGTCAAAAACAAATGGAAAGAATCCAAAAACTGATTCCAACAAAATCATGAAAACCCATTCATGCATCTTTTAATATTTTCGAAACTCAGGTGTCGCTACAAAAATTAGAGTTTTTTGAGATAAGTTTTTGTAACAATTATGTTCTCCATCACAAAAAACATATTTTAAAGAAAAAAAAATATTGCAACCATAGTTATTGGCATAAAAAGTTTATTTACTGCCGCAAACATTATTTGAAATGATATGTTACTGTTATAAAAACGTTTTAAGGCTCCTCTTATTATGGTGTGGCAATATCGTCACAAAAAATAAACATTTTATGATAGTACTTTGTCGCTGCAAAAAATCTTTTTTCTTGTAGTGTGTTATGTTTTATCACTAAAACATTCATTTCATTACATGTGTAACCAATATTTGTCTGCCATTTATATTTGAAAAAAGTTAGACGGACAAAAAAATAAGATGAAATATAAGAACCAAATGGCATGACAATTGAATATGTTTAATAGAATCTTAAATATTAAATAAATTAAAATGAGACTAAAAACATCATTATCACAATATTATATCATTTAATTCTTTTTTTTATCTAATTTTTTGATCAATTTAACATTACTCACTATATTTTTCAATTTCAAAACCGACAAAACTTATCTGTCCTTTGAACATTAGAATAATGACCCCTCATAACCTCTTCATTCAAACGAAGAGCAACCACCCACCCCATTTTTCCCTCACAATATTATTTGTATATAAGTCTTTCTTAGAAGAAGACAACACACTTCAATGTATTCTCCTCCTATCTGACTGTCCTTTGTGCTTGGAATAATAATCTTTGCAACCACGCAACCACTTCATATTAATGATGAACCAGCACCCACTTTTCTCTCCCTTCCCTCTCATTTTTGTTACTTGTCTCCCTACTGTTTCCAGGCAGATATGAAGAATACAATTCAGTTCATTCAAGCAGACCATGACATTTAGAAAAATACAGCATGATCAAATTTTATATTTATATGTATGCCAAATTTCCATAGTCTCTTCTCTCTCTTCAACTTAAGTGAAAAGCTTTCCTCATGCACATAAAATTAATTTAAATTTACAAGATAACATAATGATAGGAAGGTATTATAAGGCTAAAGTGCAAAAAAATTAAAGACAAATATCCTATCTCCTATGGAGTAATCGAGAAGAAGTCCAACAACGCCAAGACAACGATAGGCCATGGTGTTTTGAACATCAAGGCAGCTACTGGCTAGCTTGAGCTTGGTTAGAAGTTTGGGAATTGGTTCTGCGAAGATTGCATCATTTGCAAATCCGTCGTTGTTTGACAAGAGTTTTCATCGGCGATCAAAGTGCTGATAGATATTCAAGTTAGACGTCAGTTAGGAAAAAATAAGTCATTAGCATACGCTATGAGATGACAGTCAAAAACTCTAGAACTACACATCCATAGTAAACTTTCACATATTGTTTTGAAAGGTTACTCAATGTTTTTAAGTAATTAAAAGAATTACATTACTGGCAGGCTATATAAGACTTCTATTATTCTTATATAATCTTGTCCCAAATTTTTATTTTCAAAAAGAAATTCCTATTTCCTAGTCTCTCAAAGGGTGAAAATAGAAAACCTCAATCTGGCTTAGCAAATGAAAATACTTTTCGGAAACTGTCCCTAGAGGCCTTTTCCTCATCAATGTCTCTACTAAACACACCCAAAAATCTTAAAGAGCACATAGGGAATAGGAATACTTGGGTCAGATCTTACTCTCGCGGTCCAGACACCCAGAGGGAACTTAGGGCTCGTAATCGTCCATAATACTCTCCAATCACCAAAAAACATCTTGCAGCTTGCCGAACTGTCAGTATCCGGTGCAGTTGATGAAGGGTTTGTTGCCTTAAATTATCAGCCTGCAGTTCAAAATAACAAATCATGGAGTATGACCTCACAAATAAATAAAATATAAACAATTTGTCAAAAGGGTTGAAACCCATGAAGTTGTCTTATCTATGAGATTTGGACTATTTCAATTATAGGTTAAAAAATAGATCTTTTTAACATTTTTTCAACTAACTTATTCATATAATCTTGTCCCAAAATATTTAATCTTTTGTTGATAGGTCTAGCAAGGGCTTTTATTTCAATAGAAGCCATTGTCAAACCACCTTCAGATAGAAACGTGTTAGATGGAACACTGCATCAAACACTAGCATTCAACATGGTAAAATGACTTCTTCAACACAAAGCAATCGATATTTCACTACAAAATCATTTGCAGCACAATGAAATTACAATCCAATCAAGTATGCGATTGATAACTGCTATTTCAGTGTTATATGCTTACCACCTAACCTAATTAATGGAATTATATGAAAATCATAATGCCCGGTCATGTGGACTCCATCTATATATTAGTCTTGTACATACTAGTTCTAAATGGGAGACTAACTAAAAGAGCTTTGATTGGATTAATTTCTTTTCTTCATTATGGGCGATTCGGTCACCTACATAGACTGATAATGTCACCTCAGTTTTCTATATGACCAACTCTCAAACAGTCTTTACACTTATTAAAGTCATTTGATAAACCATTGACAATATTGTTACTTCAGAAAGTAGTAGTCTCTTACTCTTGTGGTAGGTAAGGAAGTATTCACAATGACAACACATTTGCCTTTTCCTCTTAGTATGGCACCGCTGAGATATCATTTTCATCACATCTTAGGCAGTTTTGGAAGGAAAGGAGAGCAGACTGGACTATTCCACAATTATTTTATATTTTTACTGCATCCCTTTCACGGTAAATATTATAGATACCAACAAATCAAAAGGCAATTACTTGCTACAATGCATGTTAAACAACAAAATATAAGAGTAAAAAGTTGTCCGGATAAGGCAGTTATGCACTAATGCAATGGGTTTACCTGACGAACAAAACCTTCAAGATTGGTTAGCTTGCCAAGAGCAACAACCATATGATGCATACCATCATTGATAGACCCACTAGCAATCGTGTCGATAAGGGACTGTTGAAGCTGTTCTAATCCTTGGGTCAGGGCTTCCTCTGCTTGTTGTGAGGATTGCTGGAGGTTGTAAATCCCCACGATTTGCTGCTCGGTTAATGGATCTAATTGTGGTATTAACATCTGAAATAAGCGTCAAGCCAAAAATAAGTTAGAGAAAGACATCAATAACTGAATCACTGAGATGGCTGGGTTAAATAATGAAAAAGTGGTACTATGAAGATCAAATGCAGATACAAATATTGTTCTATTCATAACTGCGATCTACACGAATATATTCTAGAAAACAAGTAGTAGCTTAATTTCAACCTTAATTAGCTCAGATGGCCGAAAACCACCCATCCAGAGGAAGCACCGTTCAGCTGGAGTAGTCCACATTCCAGTAATAAGGTGGAAAACATCAGATTTGGCAGCCAATACCTTCAGGCGGAAAATTTCATCATAATGGGCAATATAACCATCTACAATCACCCTGAGATCGCCATCAGATAAATGTGCTTGCAACCCCATTCGAAGCTCTGACATGAGCCTGTGGTCATCATCTAACCATCTTGAATATTCCATGTCAAATATTGCAGCACCTGAAATATTAGCCAGTGAGTCTTTGATACTTACTGCAATTTAGGTATAAAGGTGATCTCCATGGTTAAAGAATTTTTAGTGAACAGTTTAGGTAGGTGCTGAAGTATAAAATTTTATAGCTTTAGGAGTATGTCGTTTGGACATGCCCAAAAGTAACATCCATACTAGGAGAATTAGTGAACAATTTCTGGTAGATGCTGTAGAGGAAATTTTACGGCATGGAATCTTGGCAAAAACATGAACCTGTACTAATTACCAAACGATTTGGACAATGTTTTTTTTATCCTTTTGAAAGTATTAGCAAACTTTTTGTCGCATTAATATATGATACTTTTGCCTTAACTCTTACGAAAATGAAAAAACAAATAATATAACACAACTTCTACTCAAGACTTTACTTGTCATCAAGCCAGTTCAGAAACTTAGAGCTCCAAATATTTGAAAAAAGACAAGTCTGTGTAGATCTTATGGGGATCCAATCTCATCCATTTTGTCAAAATGATCAATGTCGGTAATTGACGATTACACAAATAGACTGTTGCCATAATTTGACTGAAAATAAAACGTGGAAAATTTAGACTGAGGGTGCACCAACCTATGGTCATTACCAGCAAATTAATTAATAACACAAAGTCATACTTCCAATAGGGAATGCCAATAAATTTCTTTCTTAAAACATGTAGCAAAGGATAAATCTATTCATTACGAAAATAAGCACATGCTGTGAATAACAAGAGTTTTGAATTTGACAATTGCTCTTTAACATAAATTCTAGTAACCATTGATTACCAGGAATATACTACTAAGTCTTAGAAACTATGATAGCCATGGATTACCAGGAATATATATTATAGCAGTACTTAGAAACTATGTGCCTAGTACCTAAACCTGGAAAGGCAGGTCTTAATTTGTAAGTACATGAAATTTCATTCTTCCCCAAGATAAAAAAAAGAATTTCCCTCTGCACCCACTATCCATAGAAAAGACCCAATAAGAGATGGGTATTTTGGTAAAATCACTGTAGACATATTGGACTCACCAGAGCTTATGTTCCCAGAGACACCACCACCTCCTCCAAAGTACAATCCCTGTTAAGTGTTCACCAAAGAAATCATAAAACCCACCATAAAATAGTAAAGATTATGATTTTATTTATTAATTTGCAAAAATGTTTTTAAGTTAAACTGTAAGAACCTGAGACCGAGCACGTTGAAGGTCTTGCTCTAGCTGAGTGAGCCGTAACCTACTTGACTCTAGCTGCTGTACATAGGCCTGTCCAGCACAAATACACAAGTACAGAGAGAGAGACAGGCAGAGGGAGAGAGATAAATGGGAAGTGAGATGGTAGAATTTCAAGAAGGAAATTTGCCGGAAAATGGAACTTCCGGGTGACATACTGTCACCGGAAACTGACACGCACCTTTTTTCTGAGCCTGCTCTCTTCTTGCTGCTTCTCTATTTTGAGCTAAACGTCTCGATGTCTGTGACCAGTGAACACATTTTTAGCTTCAAGTCTGAATCTTTTTTTGAACTAGTTTAAATCCAAAGAATATCCAGAGAAAAATCAAAGAAGAAAAGCTTGGCCTTCAAACAAAAACAAAGACCAGCAGCAGCTAACACACACACCTTAGCATCGAGTACTCTGTCTGATGTAGAACCAACACCCTTTCTCTGCAACATTCAGGAGAAAAAAAAACCAGTAAAATTAGTGTTCATTTAAGCTAGAGACACCCTTCTGAATAAATTTACAGACCAGCAACTACACTACTACAGTAGTTTTTTCTTTATTTATTTATTTTTTTTTTTGGGGGGGGGGAGGTGTTTGTATCTTTGTGAAGATTGTATTTTCATGAACAAATTTGTAATGATTAAATGTTGATGTGAGTACTGTTTGAAATGTGATTATGTGAATACTGGTTCTTCAAACAAGGTGAAACTAATGATGACGATGATTATAAGAATAGACCAATGAAACATCATAATCTCCGAGTTGCCTAGATTTGGTTGCTCTAATTCCGAGGTAGATTAAGGGCTTAAAAAGGAGAAGTGAACTACTGTTCTGGGGATTGAGTAAAAGGGTCATTATTATAATTTAAATAAGAAAAGAAAGGGCGGTAATTCTACTGTAAAGCTTGTATCTTTTCTTCCAAATAGATGTGGTACAAGTCTCTCTCATACTCTCAGTTCAGGTCAGACATAAAAAAAAGACCATCAAAAGAACCCTGCCTTCAATTAATTT